CTGCTTTTTCTGTTACACTCCTCATGACATGTGCTCTTGTTGCGTTCCTCGCTGTAAACGATGATGATGATGATGGTTGTGACGATGGTGATAGCTGTTGTGATGCAATGGAATGACACAGACACACACACATACAGACACACGCAGAAGGCTGCAAAAGCCATCTTCAGGTACATTTCTTTGTTTTGTGTTGAGAGGGGTTTAACCTTTCGGTTTCCAAATATTGGGTCAAGCAATGAAGCCAGCCCGGGGTATTGGAACTGAAAGTTTTCAATCAGCAAAAACAGCCGCTCGGTTTGCACCTCACTGCGCGCCGTCTTGCCTCTGCGCAAAGATGCTCTTCTCACAAAGCGCTCTAACATATCATAAAATTGATTCAGTTTGCACACTTGTGGGTTTTTTCTATTCTGCAAAAATTTTAAAAAATTTCAGCAGTTCCGTCCCGTAAAATTGCATGGAATCAGCTATCAGAAAACAAAAGGGCAAAGGCAAACACAAAGGCTTCCACATCTCAACAACAAACACCAACAACCGCTTAACGCCCCCCCCCCACACTTCCTCCTCTTCCCCCGCCACTGCTACTGCTACCGCCACTGCTACTGCTACTGCTACTGCTACTGTTATGCACACAAAACAGCACACAAAACAGCACACAAAACAGCACACAAAACAGCACACAAAACAGCACACAAAACAGCACACAAAACAGCACACAAAACAGCACCATGCAGAAGAAACAGTCTTTAGGGCTGGCGGGGATGGAGGCGGTCGAGGAGGGCCGTGATGCGCTGTTCGATGGCATCGAGGCGCCGCTCAACCGTGTTGACCTTGCTCTGGAGATGCGCCACCGCATTGGTTGTGTCCCCATGATACACGCGCACGCACGTCTTGAGCTCGTTCAGGACGCCCTGCCACTCGTGCCGCGGCGTTTCGCCCTGCTCGGTCCCCTGCGGAATCAGAACGAGCAGGTGCTGCGGCCACTTGCGCGGCAGGAAAATGCCCTGCAACCACTGCCCCACAGCCAGCAGCCGATGCCCGCAGTGCCCAAACGTGAGCAGCCCAACAAGGGACGACAGCACCAGCAGCGGCAGAAGCAGCGTCACCAGCACAAACTGGCTGGCCCAGCGCTGAATGGACTGGTACTGGCCCTCCAGGATGCGCGCCTTGGCCAGCGTCAGCTCGTGCATCGAGTTCTGCTGCACGCGCTCGTACGAGTCGGACAGGATGGCAATCAGCAGGTTCAGCAGGATCACCAGCGAGAGAAACATCACCGCCAGAAACACAATCCGCGACGCCAGCGAGTCCGAGCTGTCCACAAACACAGACTGGTCGTAGTCGCCAAACAGCACCATGTTGGCCGTGGTGAACGCGCCCAGCGCAATGTCGGAGAAGCCCGTGCCGCCGCCAGAGCCCCGGAAGAACACAAAGAAGCTGTTGGTCGCGCCAAGCACAACAATGATCAGCAGCCCGAGGAACACATACGTGTCCTGGAGGATGCGGATGACCATGATCACAATCGGGCCAAGGTTCTTGAAGGGCAGCAGGAAGTACAGCAGGCCAACCCACTGCAGCAGCACCACCACCGCCAGCGGCGTGCGCGCGTTTCCGTCGCCAAGCAAGCGCAGCACGCAGAACGCGCACATGAGGCCGCCTCGCCCAAGGTCAAGTATGTTCCACATGTCGGTGAAGTACGTGCGCGGGCGCGTGATCAGCTGTAGCAGCTCGTCCAGAAGCAGCGTGGCAAAGAGCACAAGCAGCGCAATCGTCAGCCCGGCGTCTGCCCCCGTCGGCGGCTGCCGCCAATCCGTCGTCGTCAGCGACAACGCAACCAGCAGCCCAAGCGTCGCCAGGTACAGTGCCGTCTCAATCAGGAACCATGCCCGGCCCTGCAGCGTCCACCGGTAGTGCACCGCCGCGCGCAGCGGCAGGAACTGGAACAGCTCGGGCGTGTTGCTGTCCACCAGCTCGGAGAAGAGCGTGTTGCGCTCCCCCGGCTCCCCGCACAGCTGGTGCATGTCCAGCACCAGCGGCCGCGTGGCAACACGCGTCGCCTTGCGGTCCTCCTGCCGCGACAGCTGCGCCCGCAGCCGCTTTGGGCGATCAAGCAGGTGCGGGTCGACCACGGCAAACTCGCCCGGGCGAAGGCGCGCGCGTGGCGCCCCAGCCTCCACCTCGGCCTCCTCCAGCGCAAACAGGCCCTCTGCAAGCTTGAGCACCAGCGCCGTGTCCGCGCCAAGCGCCGCCCGGAACAGCGCCAGCCGCACGCTGGCCAGGTGGCGGCCAGGGAATTCCGCTTCCTGCGCCATGGCCAGCGCGTGCGAGGGCTCCGTGCGGATAAAGTCCAGCATCATCTTCTTCACCGACCACATGACGCCTTTGCACTCAAGCGCATCCATGTCCCACACCCGCAGCTCCGACGCCTCGCCGCCGGAGACGAGTGTCCGCCCGCTCGGCGACAGCGCCACGCTCAACACCGCGTACCGGTGGCCAGGCAGCGTGGCCTCGCAGGGGAAGCCTTCCCGCAGCGACCACGCCTTGATGATGCCCGTCTGGTCTCCCGTCACCAGCCGGTTCGAGTCCGCAGAGATGATGCCGCAGCACACATGCGTGCCGTGGCCCTTGATCACCGCTGCGACGCCCACCACCTCCGCTGCTGCTGTTGCTGCTGTGGTCGCTGCTGCTGTTGCTGATGTCCTTGTTGCGCTGCCCCGCTTGATGGCTGCGGCCACGCTGTCGCTGGACCACACCAGCACGTGCTTGCTCGCACCGCCGGCCGCAACAAACGTGCCGTCGGGCGCAGCGGCAATCCACCACACCGCAGTCTTCTTCGTCTTCTTCTTGTCGGCAAACGCAGGCAGGGTGGCCACGTGCCTGAGCGGCGCCGACGGCGTTGATGCCTTGGGCGGCGGCAGCGCCCACACATCCACCATGCCCGTGTCTGTGGCGGTGAACAAGCGGTTGTGCGTCGCGTCAATGGCCATGCACTGCACGATGCCCGTGGCCTCTGTAACCACGGGCTCCCACACGAACGTGTTCAGATCCCAGGCGTAGATCTTTGGCGGATCACCGGCAGCCACATACAGCGTGCTGTTGTCCGCAGACAGCACCATCGTCGTCACCCACGCATCAATCTCCACCTCAATGTCCTTGCTGGTTGCCGCTGGCACCGCTGCTGTCGTGTTCTTGCTGCCATGTGGAGGATGCGGTGGCGCAATGCGCACCTGCCTCCATGGCGGTCGCCCGCCACCGCTGCCGCCAGCGCGGCTGGTCGGCGTGTCTGAATGAGCAGCGTCAACATCCAGCTCATCATCCTCGTCGTCGTCATCATCGGCATCGTCATCATCATCAGCATCATCAGCGTTTTCATCACCGCCAACACCAGTACCAGCATTAGCATTGGCACTGCCCTTGCTGTTCGCTTTCGTATTCGTACCACCGCCGCTTCCGCTTTGATTTGAATGGCTGCTGTCCGCGCCACTCTTGCGTGCATGCACCGTGTGCCGGCCCTTGTGCTTTGATGTGCGTTTCACATGGATTGGAGACCCTGGCGTTGCCTTGGATGGTCTTGTTGCTGTCGCTGTTGTTGCTGTTGCTGATGTTGTTGTTGTTGGCGCGTGGTGGCCATCGACGTCGCTCTCACCAAACGGCTCTGCGTGCTCCTCCTCCTGTTGGCGGTACTCAAAGAAGTCAAACGTGCGCAGGCACTTGCGCGTCGATAAATCCCACACCTTGAGCACCAGCTCGTCGCTGCTGAGCGTAATTGCGCGCGTGCCATCTGTGGTCTGCACCACCTGCGTGATGCCCTCTGCGTGGCCCTTGAGCTCGGCGATGCGCTCCAGGCCATCATCGGCGATGCGCCACACCTTGACCACGCCGTCTGCCGCACCCGAGAGCGCCAGCGAGTCCGAGCAGGCGACCACCGTCTCGATGTGCCCAAGGTGGCCATCCAGCTTTCCGGGCGTCACTGCCTCTGCATCTGCCGATCCGTCCTCGTCGTCGTCGTCCTCCTCCTCCTCCTCGCTGCCGTTGTAGTTGTGGTGCCGCGGCTTGGTTGTGTCGGGCGTGGTGCGCACCGAAAACGCTGTTGTGGCTGTGAGCGGCGTCGATGTCCTCGTCGCGGTGGCAGCGGCGGTGTCGGTGGCAGCGGCTGTGCTGCCGTCGCTTTGGACCAGCGGCGAGGATGCCCGGCGGGCGCTTCGCGAGACGCGGCGCACGACCGATGCGATGCGCCGGGACTGCGGGCGGCCATCCTGCGCGAGATCCATTGGCGGCGTGGGTGGAGATGAGACGTTGCGCAGTTCCAACCCGCCGTCGTCGCCTGTTGCGCTGCCGACCCTCGAGGCCATTGTCAGCGACGGGGTGGTGTGAGAAAGGAGTTGGGGGGGGTGACTGTTGATGTGGAGTGGCGTGATGTGAGGAGTGGGGGTGGTGTGAGTGGGTGGCGTGAGGTGAGGGAGGAGTGGGGGTGGGGTGCTGCAAGCAACCGTTACTGTTTGTTGTTGTTTGTGTTGCTTGGGGGACAAATCGGTCAGCAAGCAAGCAAGAAAAAAGCAGCAGAATAAGAAGGACAAGCAAGCAGGGATGGACTTGGTGCAGGTGATTGTGGTGCGGCGAGACTTGTGGCGGGCGTGTGGGTGGAGCATTGGGTCGATTGTGGCTCAGGGCGCTCATGCCGCAATCGCTGTCATTGTTGAGAACATGGACCATGACAATGTCAAGCGATACACGGCCGACGTCCCTCACATGACCAAGCACGTCAAGGAGGTTGGTTTGTTTGTCTGTGTGTGTGTGTGTGTGTGTGTGTGTGTGTGTGTGTGTCTGTCTGTCTGTCTGTCTGTGTGTGTGTGTGTGTCTGTCTGTCTGTCTGTCTGTGTGTGTGTGTGTGTCTGTGTCTGTCTGTGTCTGTCTGTCTGTCTGTCTGTCTGTGTCCTGATGTACATCTCTGCACACGTGCCATACCCACACCTCCACACCTGTCTACGCCCACGCCTCTGCTCATGACTCCTTCACTGTCCCCCCACCCCCTCTAATCAACACACATATGTACACTTGCAGGTGAAAAGCGAACAGCAACTGCTGAACTTGAGTGAGAAGCTGAGGGAGGCGGGCATCCCGCACCACCTCTGGAACGAGCAGCCAGAGAACATGCCCACGTGCCTCGCTACCATCCCCATCCCCAAGGACAACATCATCAAGCCGCTCAAGAAGCTCCAGCTCTTCCGAGACACCATCGCACAGTCTACACCGCAGCAGCAACAACAACAACAACAACAACAACAACAACAACAACAACAACAACAACAACAACAACAACAACAACAACAACAACAACAACAACAACAACAACGCGGGACCAAGGACAAGCCGGAACAGCCAACAGTGCCTGCAGTGCCTGCCCACTCACAGCAACAACAACCACAATCAACAGGCGAGCGCAGGACAGATGCCCAGGGGCCCAACTAGTTCTTCGGCAGCGCAAGTAGCTGATGTAGGTTTCGATGTATTGTGTGTGTTCATGTGTGTGCATCGTGTGTGCATTAATAGGGCGCAAGTGCTTGGGCCTGTGAGGTTATGTGCAAGCGCAATTGTAACATGGCGTTCAAGCAATGTGGGTGTGTGCGTGTGTGGCCTTGTGACATGTGACAGCGGCTCAAACGGGACGCCCTTCTCCCTCTTTTCGTCAGTCAAAAGACAAGCACGTGCTTGTCCAGCTTGTACGGCGCTGTCGCCTGTGTGATGGCCTCCTCCCAGTTCTCCAGCGCATGCGTTTGAACCCGCTGCAAAGTAAACAAACCATCCATCATATGAGCATGAATGCGAACAAAATGTGCATGTGTGTGTGTGCGCATATGTGTGCATGTGTGTGTGCATTTGTGTGTGTGTGTGTGTGTGTGTGTGTGTGTGTGCGTGCGCATATGAGTGTGCATGTGTGTGCATTTTCTTATGTAACCGCGTCCTTCACGCTGCCTCCCCCCCCCCAATACAAAGACGTTCACCACGCCACACATGCGACCGCGTGCGGAACACCCGTGACATGTGCGTACCGTGGCGAGCTGTCCGCTGCGAATGAGGTCCAGAAGCGTGTCGAGCATGCGCTGCCGCTCAGCCAGGTCCGTTGTCTGCAGTCAACATCGACAGCGTGAACCTCTGAACTCGCACATGAAAGCACACCAAGCAAAGGCAACAGGGGCAGGAGGAGGAGGAGCAATCACACACGCATGATGCACGTGCACAAACACACACACACACACACACACACACACACACACACACACACACACACACACACACACACACACACACACACACACACACACACACACACGTTCACGCATGACGCACGTCATTCCATCGGGTCATCCAAAAGCCGTGGAAGTGCAGGTCTTGGAAGATGAGGGCCGCCTGCGAGAAGATTGACGGCGTGAACACTGATGTTGCACAACCAAAGTACCGCACATGTACACATACACAAGGAAAACTCACATACATGTACAAGCACACTCTCTCATATACACACACGAAAACACATGAACACCCTCACACGCACAAGGGTGCATACCGTTGGCAGCATGATGGGCTTCTTGGACATGCCGCCATATGTGACCACGGTGCCGTGTTGCGGCATGACTTTGCACAGCGTCGACAGCGGTTTTCCGCCAACGCAGTTGAGCGCGAGCCGTGGTCGCGTTTCCTTGAACAGTGCACGCGTGTCTGGCTCCATCAGTTCGTCATCATACACAATGTGGTCTGCTCCCAGCTCCTGCAGGTGCGCTCTCATCTCTGCATCCCCTTTGGCCTGATCCTCAGGCCTGCACCACACACACACACACACACACACACACACACATGCACCAAATGGAAGCGTGTGAGAGTTCTTCAGGCAAGCAAGTCATCGTAGATGCAGTCAGCCGAGCCATGACACCTCTTGCGAACGATGTTGATGGTCTTCCAGCCAAACACTTTTGCCAGCTGAATCGCTGCTTGGCCAACAGCCGACGTCGCCCCGTTCTGCACCACGTAGTCCCCTGGTCACGTGGGTGTTGTTGCGGGTGATGTGCTGGCGTGAGTCATCATGTGATATTGGCAGCAGCTAACACATGTCAAGTCCAATGGCAAGCAAGCAGGGGCGGCAAAACAACCCAAAGCCACACATGATAACTGTTGGCAGGACTGAGAAACGAGGGAGAGAGAGGAAGAGAGACAGACAGACACAGAGAGACAGACAGAGACAGACAGAGACAGACAGACAGAGAAAGAGAGAGAGAGAGAGACAGACAGACAGACAGAGACAGGGAGCGAGAGAACACGAAAGGATGTGGTCACCAGCTGCAGCAGTTTCAAGAGCAGATTGTGCCGCTGTTCGTCGGATCGCATGTGCATCTCGACTGACCTGGCTGGAGCTGGCAAAAGTCGTGCAACATGCGATATGCAGTGCAAGGGTTCACGCTCAACGTTGCCGCCTGCAGCGGGTCCACGTCTCCTGGCAGCTTGATGAAGTTCCCCGCGTCGCTCGCCAGATGGCTTGTCCATGTGCCTTTCAAAGAGGCAAGAGTGATGACAAAAAGGGAGCATGACAAGCGTGAGAAGCTGCAAGCTGACCAACATTCACGAACACAGAACACGCTCGCTTGAGTTCAAAAGCAACTGGTTTCAATCAGAAACCGTGCACAAAACACGACACCCCGCGCAAACGCAAACGCACGCACGCATGCACACGCGCACACACATTTACGCACACACACACACACACACACACACACACACACACACACACACACACACACACACACACACACACACACACGCAAAAGCCGCTTCCTTGAACCTCAATGCTACAACGGTTCTTCTCGGGCGATAGCCGTGAGTTGCCGCATTTCGAGCTCCCCCGTCTGAGAAGCTTCGCACATGCAATCTAGCTTCAACATTAGTCCAACAGGGCCGAGGCATAGGTAACTCTGAGAATCGCAAAAGTGCTCGAACCCATGAAACTGTCCACCTCACATCTGAACACACACACACACACACACACACACGACACACACACATTCACACGCACGCACGCACGCACACACACACACACGCACGCACACACACAATCACACGCATGCACGCACACACATTCACACGTATGCACACTCACCAAGGCAAGACCATCTGGGAATGACTCGGTCGCCCTCTTTCAAGTCTGTTGCGCAATCGCGGCCAACCTGCACAACTTCGGCCAATCCTACCGTACACATTGTTGTAAGCGTCAGCGTGCTTGCTGCCGCTGCTGCTGCTGCTGCTGCTGCTGTTGAAATGCAACAATGTATCTTCCCCCACTAACTCGACACACACACACACATACACACACACACACGCACACACACACACACACCTTCGTTGCCGCCGACAGCAGGGAGGCTTGGGGATTTGGGGTACACGCCCTCCACTTGATTGATGTCGGATGGGTTGATTGGTGACGCAAGGAACTTGACAAGCACCTCACTGGCACCTGGCGTTGGAATTGTCCCAGAACGCATGGCCAACGCCGACAGCGGCGGGCCATGCGCCGTGTACATGAGCTGTCTCAACACCCCACTGGTAGCCATGGTTGATGTTGTTGATGTTGTTGATGTTGCTGAAGAAGTTGAATATGATGAAGATGACAATGAAGATGACGGAGGAGAGAAGGCAGCAGTCGGGTTGGTTTGGTTGGTCCTGTCTGTCAGCAAACCAGTGAAGTTGGGAGGATTTGTGAATAATTTCAATCATCTTTCGTGGAATCTTGCATCTTGCTTCTCGCTTGTTGTTGCTTTCTCCTCGCTCACTGAACACCTCTCACCTCACCTCCCATCTCATTATCACTCATCCCTGCATCGCTGTCATGGGCCGGCAGTGGCAGGTTGTGGCAGTAGCAGCTGTGCTTGCTGCCGTGTGTATGGCAACAGCGCGTGCAGATCCGCGCGTGCTTGCTGCAAAGGAGGTGGAGTCCTTCTTGCTGGCAAACGGGCGTGTGACCACAACATCTGCACGTGTGCTGTACGACATCTTGTTGGACAAGCAACAAGAGGCGCCACCGCAGCCCAACACCAGCACCAACAACAACGACAACAACAAGCAACAAACCGAGGAGCAAGCCAGCGACGATCACGACCATGACGACGACAACACGACGGCCAACATCAAGAACGACGGCAGTGAGTTCACGCTGTACTACAAGCTGACCACTGGAGACGCCAGTGATGGCGGTAGCGTCGTTGCGCGAGGAACCCTGGATACGACCCGGCTGCCCAACGCACTGGTGCTCAACAAAGGACTGAGGCCGTGCTCCAAGTACACCTTGGCGGTGACAGATGCCCATGGCATTACCGTGGGCGTGTCGCGCATCCACACAGAGTGCCCTGGTCGCGACATGGCGATGGATGCGGTCGTCGTGTCCTGCGACCGCTACCTCGAGGATCACGATGACGAGTTTGTGGCCTTGCTTGATGCCAGCCTCACGGGCAACGAGACCATGTTCCACATTGGCGACCAGCTCTACCTTGACCTGCCACGGAAGGCCCTGGCGCATGCGTCGTTCCCAGAGGCATACCAGCACGTACGTCGCTTGTACCACAAGTCATGGACGCGCCCAGCAATGGCCAGCATCCTTCGAAAGGCTTCGCACATCATGCTTCCGGACGATCATGACATCTTCAACGCCCTCAGGTCCGACCAAAACACACACACTCTCTCTCTTCTCTCTTGTCTTGTCTTGTCTTGTCTTGTGGCGCTGGCATGTCCACACGCGAACAAATCCACATGCACCAACAACATGCTGCTGCGACCATGTCACGCCAGCGCCGGTGGTGTTGTTCATGAATCGCTCTCACCTCTCTCATCTCTCCCGTCCCTCTCACCCACTCTCACCTGTGACCGCTGCGCTGCCTCACGCCAACTCACACCTTGCTGCAGCCCTGGCGTGCTGAAGACGCATGCTGTTGACATGGCGTTTATCAAAGCAGCGCACCTGGCCGTCCTGCTCTTCCAGCGTCAACTCTCACACGGTAATGCAGACTGTAGTGCATGCGTTGTTGCCAGTGATGCTTGCTGTCCCACGCATGTAGCTGTTGTTGTACTTGCTTCGCTGTGGCTTGAACTCTGGGCACACACAGTCGCACACGCACGTTCACACAATCACGACCGCCACCACAATCACACAATAACACAACCACACAATCACCACCGCATACACACACACAGCCACATGACCTCTGCCGTTTGACTCACGCGCGCGTGTTGCTTGCATGCATGCATGCAATGTCCCGTACAGACATTGTGCTTGACGTTGAAGCGCTGCTGCGCGGGGAAGTGGATGACACGGCCCTGTTTGCGCACACGACTGTCGACGACGCCCTTGTGTCCAATGGCGTGGGCGTGTTCCTGCTTGACCTGCGCTACCACCGCGCACTCGCAGAGAACGAGGCGCACCCGACGCTCGTGGGCACCGGACAGCTGGCCCGGTTCACCAGCACCATCGAGGCGTGGAGGCAGGACAAGGACGTCTCCAACATCCTCGTCCTCACCAACCTCCCACTCATGTACCCAAACACATTCATGGCCGACATTGTCGAAGTCGTCGAACGTAAGCAATAGGGCAGTGTGTGTTTGTGTGTGTGTGTGTGTGTGTGTGTGTGTGTGTGTGTGTGTGTGTGTGTGTGTGTGTGCTTTGGTGTGTGTATGTGTGTCTACCTGCCTGTCTACCTGCCTGTCTGTCTGCCAGTCTACCTGCCTGTCTACCTGTCTACCTGCCTGCCTGTCTGCCTGTCTGTCTGTCTGCCTGCCTGTCTGTCTGCCTGTCTGTCTACCTGCCTGTCTGTCTCTGATTATGTGCGCGTGTGTCGGCCCCCTCCCCTCTCCGTCTCTCTCTCTCTCTCTCCTTTGCTTTTATCTCGCTCTCTTTGCCTCTACGCACATTCGCGCGTCCGGCCATCCGCCCTATTGCTGATGTCCGTCTGTACTCTTTGCCGTTGCACCCTTCTCATCCACAAGCTGCGCCCTATACATCACCAACAACACACATGCACACCCTCTCCCCCATTGCCAGACGACCTGTATCCGAACCACCGCTCGTATCACGCGAGCGAGGATGCGCTGCTGTCTCCGCTCTTCCGCGCGGCGCGGGAGAAGCACGTCACCATCGCGGCCGGCGATCTCCACATGACCGCGTCCATGACCATGTGCCAACGCATCGGCAGCGACGACACCGACGACGACACCAACCACCAGCACGCACATGAGTCCACAACAACAACATCGTCGTCGTCATCAACAACAACGACGTGCATTCCGGCGCTTGTGTCGTCCAGCATCACCAAAGGCTCAGAGGGCATCCGCGGGTTCATCATCACGCTGTTCGACAGCCTGGTGCTGCTGGCACCCTGGCCAACATTCAGTGTGGAGGACCGCCACTACAGCCTGCGGTTTCATGACATGAAGCTCATCAACAACTTCCTTCGCATCACCGTGCCGACCGCCGGCGCAGAGCCGACATATGCGTTTACCGTTCGCCAGCACAACTGGGCGTTTATGCTGTACCACAACGTGATGCTGCACACGAGTGTTGTCTTCCTGCTCGGCGGGATTGCGTTTCTCCTCTTTGTGCTCGGTCGCGCCCTCGTGCGCTGCTGCTGCTGCCCTCCCCGCCCAGCCAAGGTCAAGCGTCAATAGTGTGTGTGTGTGTGTGTGTGTGTGTGTGTGTGTGTGTGTGTGTGTGTGTGTGTGTGTGTGTGTGTGTGTGTCCACATGTGCGTGTTCACTTTGCCTGTTGTGGGTGTGTATATGTGTGTGTGTGTATGCGTGTGCACACCGATCAATCTTGTGTTTGTACCACGTCCACCTCCTGTCTCCCCTCCAAAGCAAGCAATCCATTGCACGAATAAGCGAAGCCGCCTGCTCTTCATGTCAAAGCATATTTTGTTTATTCGTTCGTCAAGCACAAGAAGCAGGGTAACGCAACAGAGAGAAGAGGGGAGAAGAGAGAAGCAACCCACAGAGGAATCAAATCAAAGGGGGAGGGGAGGCAGAGAAAAGACTGACCGACACTTGTTACATTCATCAGCGCATTGTCACACGATTGCTCATGACAAACCTTCAATTCAACACTTTCCCCACCAACCACCACGACAGTCAATGTCGGAAGATGGCGCACACACACACACACACACACACACACACACACAATCACGTTGGTTGTCATTACGCGCTGCACATGACGCACTCGTCCCTGTTGTCGATGGAGCACATCATGGCGGCCTCCTTGGCCTCCCGCGCCTTCTTCGCGTCGACCGTAAACTGGATGGCGTTGGTGGCGGCACGCGAGCGCAGGTAGTACATGCCCGTCTTAAGGCCCCGCTTCCACGCGTAAAAGTGCATGGACGTGAGCTTGCCAAAGTTGGGGTCGGAGATGTGCACGTTGAACGACTGGCTCTGGTCGATAAAGGCGCCGCGATCAGCAGCCATGTCAATCAGCGTACGCTGGGAGAGCTCCCACACCGTCTTGTACAGGGCCTTGATGTCATCGGGAATGCCTGCAATGAACAGGGAAGCAAAGTTTGTTTGAGAGGAAGGGGGGGGCGGGTGGATGGAAGGTGAGCGAGATGTGCATGACAGTTTTCGGCGTGGCTGTATCGCACGTCATGTCAAGCAGCAAACAGACAATGCACAACGAGTGACAGTGCATAACGGCAAGTCACACACACACACACACACACACAACCACAACCACAACCACACACACACACACAACCCCACTCCCCCCCCCCCCAAACACGCACACACATGAAACTCACCCTCAATCTTCTGGATGGAGCCGTTGTTGAGGATAATCTGATCCTTGACCTCATCGGACCACAGACCCATCTCAACAAGGTCCTTGAGCAAGTGCTTGTTCACCACCTGGAACTCGCCAGAGAGCACGCGGCGCGAGTAGATGTTGCTCGTGTAGGGCTCAATCGACTCGTTGTTGCCGAGAATCTGGGCAGTGGACGCGGTGGGCATGGGCGCAACCAGCAGCGAGTTGCGAATGCCGTCCTTCTTCACGCGCTCGCGAAGCGACTCCCAATCCCACAGGTCCGTGGGCTTCACATCCCACATGTCAAACTGAAGAATGCCCTCAGAGGTGGGCGAGCCCTCAAAAGTCTCGTATGGCCCCTCAACGGACGCAATCTCCGTGGAGGCTTCGAGGGCGCCGTGGTAGATGGTCTCGAAAATCTTGCGGTTCACCTCGCGTGCCTCGTCGCTGTCAAAGGGAAGACGCATCAGGATAAACGCGTCGGCAAGGCCCTGCACGCCAATGCCAATGGGGCGGTGGCGCATGTTGGACTTGCGCGCCTCTGGGACAGGGTAGTAGTTGATGTCGATAATCTTGTTGAGGTTGCGCGTGAGCACCTTGGTAACCTCGTGCAGCTTCTTGTAATCAAACGTCTTGTCCCCAACAAACTTGTTCAGCGCAATCGAGCCGAGGTTGCTGCAAGCGTGTTTGGAGAGAGAGAGAGGGCAAAGGTGGTGCGGATGTTAGTGTGGCGGTGAATGGGCTATGGGTTGGTGACACGTTGGGTGATGTTGTCAGTGTCGAGCAAGGAGTCTGTTCTCATTGGCGCAAACACACACACGCGCGCGCACCCCGGGTGCAGAGGCAAAGCAACATCAAGACTCACCAGACGGCGACCTCGTCGGGGCTGCTGTACTCGATAATCTCCGTGCAGAGGTTGCTGCTGTGGATGGTGCCAAGGTTCTTCTGGTTCGACTGCATGTATGGAGATGGGGGAGGATGTGAGCACGCACGTTGTGTGGTTGAACAGAGACACAGACTGCACAGAAAATGGTTGTGTAGTCGCCACGTGTTACACACACGAACGCATACGTGTACACAAACGCGCGCACACAAACGCATACACACGCACACACACACACACACACACACACACACACACACACACACACACACACACACACAAAACACACACCTTCTTGTTGCACGCGTCCTTGTAGAGCATGTATGGGGTGCCCGTCTCCGTCTGGGCGTCGAGAATGGCAAACCAGAGCTTGGATGCCGACACCTTCTTGCGGCCCTTGCCCTCGGCCTCGTACTTCTCGTACAGGCGCTCAAACTCGTCGCCGTATGTGTCCGAGAGACCGGGGCACTCGTGCGGGCACATGAGCGTCCACTCTTCGTTGGCCTCAACGCGCTTCATAAACAGGTCGGGCACCCACAGCGCGAAGAAGAGGTCGCGGGCACGCTGCTCCTCAACACCGGTGTTCTTCTTCAGCTCGAGAAAGTCAAAGATGTCTGCGTGCCACGGCTCGAGGTACACGGCAAAGGCGCCGGGCCGCTTGTTGCCGCCCTGGTCGACGTAGCGCGCCGTGTTGTTGAACACGCGCAGCATGGGCACGAGCCCGTTCGAGTGGCCGTTGGTGCCGGCAATGTACGAGCCGCTGGCGCGGATGTTGTGCACGCTAAGGCCAATGCCGCCGGCTGTCTTGGAGATCATGGCACACGTCTTGAGCGTATCGTAGATGCCCTCGATGCTGTCGTCCTTCATGGTGAGGAGGAAGCAGCTGCTCAGCTGCGGGATGGGCGTGCCAGAGTTGAACAGCGTTGGCGACGCGTGCGTGAAAAAGCCCTCGGACATGTAGTTGTACGTCTAATCAGATCAGTACAGTGTGTGTGTGTGTGTGTGATAAGGTTGTTGTGAGAAAGGGCTTTGGTGAGACAAACAGACGAAGAGTGCAACACATGGACGAAGATTGCAGCATGACGTTTGTCGACACACGCGAGACACAGCACACACACACAGAGGTGCGTTACCTCGATGGCTGCGTCAACGTCTTCGCCGTGCATGCCAATGGCGACGCGCATGAACATGTGCTGGGGGCGCTCGGCAACCTTGCCGTTCATCTTCAGCAGGTACGAGCGCTCAAGCGTCTTGAAGCCAAAGAAGTTGAAGTTGAAGTCACGCTCAAAGATGATGTGCGAGTTGTACACCTCCTTGTTGGCCATGACCTGCTCGTACGTCTCCTTGGAGATGAGCGGAGCTGGGCGGCCTGTCTCCGGGTTGACGTAGTGGTGCAGAGCATCAATGACATCTGCATGCACGCACGCAATGCGGTCGGTGTGAGTGGTGGTGATTGCAACGTTTGTGTCAACGTGGCAGTTGCGTGAAAATACAAGGTGTGGGGGCATTGCTCGTTTGATGAAACACCGTCACAATCACAGCAACGATGAACAGCGATTGCAGTGTTTTGACACACGGATGACATACCGCTGAACTGCTTGTGTGTCATCTTGTGGAGGTTGGACACGGCGATGCGCGCGGCGAGGATGGCGTAGTCCGGGTGCTTGGTGGTGAAGGAGGCGGCTGTCTCCGCGGCAAGCTGGTCAAGCTCAACCGTGGTGACACCGGTATACACGCCAGAGATGACGCGCTTGGTGATCTCAACCTGTGTACGACGAGCACGAGGACGCGCGCAAGCCGAGTGACGACGTGAGATGGTGATGAACAGGGTTTGAACAACACGCACACATGCATTCGCAGTCACACATGCATTCGAGCTTGCTTGGTGCACGTTTGTGGTGTTGTGGTACGAAGTACGTACAGCATCGACGTGCTCTGTGTTGAGGCCGTAGCTGAGCTTGGAGACGCGGGAAGTGATCTTGTCAAAGAGAACCTTCTCCTTGCGCCCGTCTGTGCAAGAATCACAACAACCAAACACGAGCGTGGGCGCGCAACAATAATGGTGTGAGTGAGATGGAGAACACGCCAAGCAGTCGTGCGAAGCGTGGGTAATGGTGGAGACGGAACGGAGCGCGGGAGCTTTGTGCCGGCACACAGCGGAGTGCGTACCTCGCTTGACGACATACATCCTGGGAGGTTGTGTTGAGGATGGGCTGGAAGGGGGACTGGGGAGTGGAATGGTGGTGTTGGCTTGTGGGGAGGGGGAACTGCCTATGCGATACGCTTGGAAGAAAATGAACCGACCGGCGGGATGATGGTGGTCTGGTCGTGTTGGTGGAAGGCTTCTTGCCACCCTCTTGCTCGCTTGCTTGCTTGCTCACTCGCTCGTGGCAGTGTGTGGGCTGTGTTGTGTGTGTTTGTTTGAACGCGCGGGAGATGATGGACGGATTTGGCGCGCGCGCGCTTTTGAAAATCTGGCGCGGAAGGAAAAGTAGCAACGATTAAACACGATTGACATGAATTTTGGGTATGCAAAAATACAGCATAAATTGATGGAGGTGCTCGTTGGTGAAGATCCGACAGTGCGACATGCAAAAATATAGTGAGTTGATGAGTTGACGAGTGGAGGGGAAGACAAGACAAGCAGCACACACAGAGCGAGATGCAGACACCGGAGCTGCAAGCGTTCGAGGTCCATCCCATTGTACAATGGCGCAGCGTTCCTTTTCACATCCAATCCGTTGAACTCAACGGTGAGCTGTGTGTGTGTCTGTGTTGTGTGTGTGTGTCTTTGTCTGTGTGTGTGTGCGACTCTGTGGGTTTGTGTCTGTGTCTGTGCGTTTGCTCGCTTATGTGATGCATCGCTGCTGTGTGTTGTCGCTGCTGGTGGTTGTCGAGCAGAAACCACGCACCTGACACACGCACCTTGGATCGTTTTCGTCTTCACTCCACCATCTCACATCACACCTGTGCACTTTTACACACATTCACACATCACACACACATTCACGTCACACACACACACACACTCACACACACATACACACATACACGCACACATACTCACACACACACACACTCACACACACTCACACACACTCACACACACTCACACACACGCACACACACGCACACACACTGGCAGGAACGGACTTGCTGGTGGGAACAAGCCAGGGCCAATTGCTGGTGTATGACCTGCCAGAGGGGTCTGTGGGCGCTGTGCCCAGCTTACGACTGACAAAGAAGGACTTTTTGAAGACATCGCGAAAGCCGCCAATCTCCCAGCTGCTCGCTGTGCCGGAGCTCAACATCCTGCTGTGCCTCGCAGACACCTACGTACACGTCCACGACCTCACCACATTCACGTCCTTGTACACCATCGAGCGGAGCAAGGGCACGCTCCTCTTCGCCGCAGACCTCCATGTCCGTGGTATGCCGCAGGCAGACACCCATCGCCTCAGCGAGACGCGGAGCACCCTGCCCGTGGACCGCCTCACACTCCAGCTCTGCTGCATCGTCAAGCGACGCTTCTTCGTCTTTGAAGTCGGCCGCGACGAAGCCAAGCACATCAAGGCAAGCATGAGCACACACATACACACACATACGTACGTGTGAGATGATCATGTGATTGCCATGGTGTTTTGTTTTTCAGCGTGCGCTGACGACGCTCGCGTCAACACACCTTGTCCTTGACTGTGCCCATGCCTGTGTGCATGCATCGTGTCTGTACACATTCGCTTGTGAAAATGGTCACTTGTGCAGGACCAGCCCTTGCCAGACACACCACAGACAGCCGTGTGGTGTGGGCGAAAGCTGTTCTTTGGCTTCAAGCGGGAATACGATCAAGTCGAGGTGTGTGTGTGTGTGTGTGTGGTTGTGTGTGTGTGTGTGTGTGTGTGTGGTTGTGTGTGGTTGTGTGTGGTTGTGTGTGGTTGTGTGTATGTGCGTGTTGTATGTGTGTATCTAGGTGCAACAAGCACACGGTTGCTCATTTGTATCACCTTGTTTTGCTTTCTTATGCGCTTTTGATGTCTTTCCTTCTCCCCTCTCGTCCACAACCCAACACACATCCTCACACTGTTCCCACCCTGCACCACACCAACCCTCATCACTGCCGCCTTGTGCTGGCCAGATTGAGACGGGCCGGGTGGTGGAGGTGCCGACGGAGTCCACGGGCTCGTTCGACCGCCTCGCTGTCCGCCTCCCAAACAACACATTCGCCCTCACCGCAGAGCGCGACGGCAGGTCGGTGGTATGAGGGGTGTTGAGGGAGGTGGAGGGTGAGGGTAGGCGGTTGCAATGTCGTGTTGCTGCTTCTGTTGCTGTTGTTTATGCTGCTGTTGTTTCTGTGGAGGTTGTGACTGTTGCTGCCGTTGCTGCTGGTGCTGCTTCATGTCTCTGAGCGAGGGCGTTGTGTGTACGACATCATGACACACCCTGTGCTGACTGCAACACACGCCTTGTGGCCCTTGTCGCTTGTGCGGCGTGCGTCAGACCCGTTGTGATCTTCAAGGACATTGAGGGGAAACCGCTTACGTCGTACGGAATCCAATGGGAGGACTGGCCCCGTGCCATCGGTGAGTCTGTCGCCACGTGTGTGTGTGTGTGTGTGTGTGTGTGTGTGTGTGTGTGTGTGTGTGTGTGTGTGCGTGTGCGCACCTGTGTGTGTGTGCGTGTGTGCGTATACAGTAACGTGTGTTCAGCCCTCCACTCACACCGTTCCTTTCTCCCATCAACTTAACCACTCCCAGATGTGTACGGCCCGTACATACTCGGCGTGACAGACAAGTGAGTCCTGCAGGCACCTGGCGCCTGCTTTGTTCCCGCGTACATGCAAACGTGCTCTCGCCCACCCTCGCACGCGTCAACACACACACACACACACATCCTGACACAACACACACACACACTTTTGAACGAACCCACACTTTTCAACACATGCACACACGCACAACACACACACACACACATTAACACACGCACACACACACGCATCATCGCCCCCACGGTCCAAAGGGGCATTGAGGTTCGGTTCAACGACGAGACGTCCAAGCTGATGCAGCTGATCCACCTCGACAGTCCGCAGTTCCTTGTGCACGGTCACACCATCCTGGCTGCCTCGCCGTCAGCGCTGTGGCAGCTGCACCCGGTGCCTTACGACCAGCAGATTGACTCCCTCCTCGACGTGAACCGATTTGTCGACGCAAAGAAGATCGAGGTGGGCTGTGAATCTGCGTGTGTGTCTGTGTCTGTGTAGCTGCGTTTGTGTGTGCGTGTCTATCTTTCTGTCTTTCTGTGTGAATGTCTGTGTCTGTGTCTGTGTCCGTGTCTGTGGACTTGTCTGTTTGCCTTGTTTCCTCCTCCTCCTCCTCCTCCTCCTCCTCCTCCTCCTCCTCCTCCTCCTCCTCCTCCTCCTCCTCCTCCTCCTCCTCCTCCTCCTCCTCCTCCTCCTCCTACACACACACACACGCACGCGCACACACACACGCGCGCACACACACAAACTCCACGCACCTCCTCATGCCACCATCCCCCTCCCCCTCTCTCTCTCTCTCTCTGCGTGTGCATATGTGCAGGCTGCAATGCCTGGGACGCCCGAAGAGCGCATGAAGCGGCGCTACAATATGGACAAGGCGCACGCCTACTACGAGTTCAACCGCAAGAAGCACTTCAAGGTCGCCCTCGACCTCCTCAAGGGCATCGAGGTGTCGCCGGCAACGGTCCTGCGGCTGTACCCGTGGCTGCTGCCGAAACACACGCCGGCAGAGGGTGTGCCCGGCGCACCGCAACTCACCCCGCAGCAGAAGCAGGAGGCCATCGCAGCCCTCATCCTCTACCTCACCGAGGTCCGTGTGTGTGTCTGTGTGTCTGTGTCTGTGTCTGTGTCTGTGTGTGTCTGTCTGTGTGTGTGTGTGTGTGTGTCTGTCTGTCTGTCTGTCTGTCTGTCTGTCTGTCTGTCCTTGTCGACTTGCTTGCTTGCGCCATCGCATCGCTGCTTCCTCACGCCATCCTCTCTCAACCCCCATCCCCACCCAACCCCCCACGACGGTGTCCAGAAACGAACACAACTGTACAAGTTTGACAGCAAAGCGGAGGCCCCGGACGAAGCAGACAAGCGCAAGAAACTCATGAGCATCGTCGACACCACCCTCCTCATCTGCTACGTCAGGGTACGCTGCGCACCCGTCACGCCTATGGCCGTCATGGAGTGTGTGTGTGTGTCTGTCTGCCTGTCTGTCTGTCTGTCTGTCTGTCTGTCTGTCTGTCTGTCTGTGTGCGCGCGTTATGCGCTGTGGGCCAGTTACATTCCCTCCATGATACGCTTCACTCACGCACGCACACACGCACATATACATGCACCTCCGCACGCGTGCACAGACGGGCTCGAGTTTGCTTCGCTCATTTGTGCGCGTGAACAATCACTGCGACATCAGCGAGAGCGAAAAAGTCCTCAAGGTATTACAGCCACGCTCGTGTGCCTGCGCCGTTCAAGCATATTGCTTGTTGCTTGTTCAAATGGTGTCGCTTGTATATGTCAAGCGGATTGATTGCACGCACACATGACACTTACTTGCAATGATACACAGACACATAATTGCACACACTCTCTCTCACTCACACACGCGCGCGCGCACTCACACACACACACACACACACACACTCACGCACTCACGCACACACACACACACACACACACACACATGTCCCATACGCTCGCAATCACCCTCCCCCCCCCCCCGCCGGCCGTCACCACCACCGTCATGCGTGGGCAGAGTGCCGACAAGCTTGAAGAGCTCGTGCTGCTGTATCAGAACAGGGGACTGCACCGGCAAGCACTCGAGCTCTTGCGCTCCAACATCAACAAGACGACGCCAGACCCAAAGACCATGGACGAGGAGGAGTGCAAGGCAATGGCGCAGCGGCGCGCAAAGTGGATGCACGCAATGATCTCGCACTTGCAGAACTTGAAGCCGGAGCACGTGGGCCTGGTGGTGGAGTACTCGTCCACAATCCTCGACATTGACGAGAAGCAAGGGCTCGGCATTTTCATGTCAAAGGACTTTCCAAACGTCAAAACCTTTCCACGGGTGCGTGTGCTTGTGTGCGTCTGTATGTATGTATGTGTGTGTGTGTGTTTGGATGTATGTGCGTCTGTATGAAAGTATGTGTGTCTGTGTATGTGTGATCCTCGGACTCCCTCTCGTATTGCTTCTTGCAGAACACTCTTCAGTTTTCCCCCTGCCAATTTCATCAAACAGCGCTCTTGCTTCCATTCTCATATCCACATACCCGACACCACTGCTTGTGTTGCTCGACCCCCGCAGGTTCCCATCATGCAGCATCTCCAAGAACACTACCCGCACCTGCTCACACAGTACCTGGTGTGTCTGTCTGTGTCTGTGTCTGTGTCTGTCTGTCTGTCTGTGTGTGTGTGCATATGTTGTATGACGTTTGAATCGTTACTTCCTCCCACACGTGTGAGGTGATTATGCGTGTGCGTGTGTGTATGCGCTGAGTCGAGTACTGAGACCACAACAAACCACCTGCTGCTGCTGCTGCTGCTGCATGACTGCATGATTGCGCAGGAGTTTGTGGTGACGGAGTGGAACGACACGTCACGCGAGATCCACACGGCGCTGGCGCTGTCCTACCTCAACGCCGTCCTCAAGATGAAGAAGACACCGCCTCTTTCATGTGAGCGCACTTTGTTGCATGATTGCACATCCACAGCACTGTCACCCCCCGCTTCCCGCACGTTTCGAAACGCGCAGATGGGCAACCAACCATGCACACGACCACACACACACACACACACACTCACTCACTCACTCACTCACTCACTCACAACCGCCTCCACTCACAACCGCATCGCCATATCCCCAAACACATGCACACACACACACACACACACACATCTTTTTCGCTTCATGGCTGTCCTGGCTGCCCAGCGCCCGAGCGGCAACGGCTGTATCGGTTCCTGCGGACGTCGGACCACATTGACGCCTCGCTCATCATGCGACGCGTCGCCTCTGCGGGAGACGGTGAGCACTGAGCAAGGCAGCTGCTTCGCCATCGTGGCTGTGGCTGTGGTTGTGGTTGTGATGGTGTTCTTGAGGGGAGTAAGCATCTGCATTGGTTCGTGTGTGTGTGTGTGTGTGTGTGTGTGTGTGTGTGTGTGTGTGTGTGTGTGTGTGTGACCATCTTCATTGCCCTCATCACCCTCATCACCATCATCATCACCATCACCATCACCACCACCATCGCCGCTAGTGCTGGTTGAGGAGCGCGCTGTGCTGCTGGGACAACTGAACAGACACGCGGAGGCGCTGCGCATCCTGGCCAACGACGTTGCCGACCCGTCCTTTGCCGAGGACTATTGCAACGACAACTACGACCCGCACGACCTTGATCGCCGCAACCTGTACATGGTGCTGCTCGAGCACTACCTCAGACCGGCGAGCGGGCCGCCAAAGACGCAGCAGGCCCTCACCATCCTCGGCAAACACTCGGACGTGCGTCGTGCGGGTCGTGTGTGTGTCTGTGTGTGTCTGTGTCTGTGTGTGGGTGTGGGTGTGTATGTCTATGTGTGAAGCACCCGTTTCTTGTTTGCTCGAACGCCACCACTGACGCACGGGTTTGTGATTGTGGTTCTGTGTTTGAGCAGAAAGTGAATGCGTTGAAGGCGTTGGACATGCTTCCACTCGACACAAAGGTGCGCAGTTGATGTCATGCGTATCTGTTGCCGTGCGCATCTTTGTTGCATAGTCAACACGAGTGCACCCACCTACATCTCACCACCTCATCATTATTTCATACTCACACACAAACACACAAACACTCACACACTCACACACACACGCACACACACGCACACGTACACACCCTGCGTTGCAGATCTCTGAAATTGAGGATTTCCTAATGGCGATCCTCACGGAGCGCGAGCACACGCGCCGCGCCGTTGCCGTGCAGGCAAATCTCGCAAAGACCGAGCAGCTGCAGGTGGGGGTGGGGCGGTTGCATTGGGAGCGAGGGTGACAGGGTATGCACGCACATGCGTATGCGTGTGTGTGTGTGTGTGTGTGTGTGTGCGTGTGTGTGTGTGTGTGTGTGTGTGTGTGTGTGTGTGCATGCACCGTGCGCGCATGTGCGCAGGATGCATGCACAAGCACGCGACCACATGGTCATCCCCTCACAACCACTGAACACGCACATGTCCGTGCTCATGCTGGCAGGTGTCTGAGCGTCGCATCGCCATCCACAGCAAACACTTCAAAGTCACCGAAGACTCGTGCGTACATTGCCTCGCCCTGCCTGATGCTTGCATGCACGTGCACATGACCACCGTACGATCGCCCCCGCCTTGCCTTGCCTTCACACACGCGCTCTTGTGTTCTTGTGTGCTCACTTGTTCTGCCTCCCTCCACCAGGCTTTGCTTTGAGTGTCGCAAACCCATTCGCACACACGCATTCGCCATCTACCCGTGTGGTGAGTGCATCTTTGAGCTTGGGTGGTGTTTTTATTGGTGCTTACATTGGGAACACACGCGTGTGTATTCCAGACTGTTTCTGCTTGCTTGATCTTTCTGTTGTGGTTGACGTCAACGGGATCACCACACACACGCGCGCACACACGCACACACACACACGCACACACGCACACACGCACACACACACACACACGCACGCACACACACACACACACACACACAAACAAACAAACAAACACACACACATGCATAAACGCACACACAATCACACTCGCTCACGTGGACGTGCACATGTGCTGACCGCAACAGGGACGCTGGTGCACCTGCACTGCATGGAGAACGAGTCGACGTGCCCGCGGCACAGCACGCGCGGGCGATGCCGCCTCACTCTCAATTAGGACGCGCAACTGTCATGAACGACTCTGCATATTGGTGTTGTGGTGGTGTGGAGTGATGGATGGGACAGCAGGCTGAGGTGTGAGGTTGTCGTGTACGCGATGCAGAGCGAAGAGAGGTGGAGAGGGAGAATGATGATGATGCTGATGATGTGTGCGTGTGTGCGTGTGTGATTGTGTTCTGCCTGCATTGGTTTTTGTTACGCTCTTTGGTGTGCGTGTGCGTGTTGGCACCGCTTCCTCCGCGATGCTTCTCTTTGTACATATACATGCCTGCCTGCCACACACGCGCGCGCGCACACACGCATACACACACACACACACACATCAATGTACGTTATGTTACACTTGGGCAAATGAACGGCTTTTGAGCACACTTGGCAGCATACCTTGCTTTGGAAGAGGGGGTTCGCGATAGAGCGGGATGCGTAGACACATGGACGTGATGGCGCCGACGAGCCCGAGAAAGACACCCAGGATGAGCAGAAACATGCCGGCGTCAACGTCATATGGCCGGCACAAGATGAAGAACGACATTTCTTCGTCTGGTGCGCACGCGAGGTCGCAGTTCTCGGTCCTTCCGCCTTGCTCGCACGAGTCGTCCAGGTATGCGAAGCCCGCGGCAAGACACATCATGCCTGAGACGCCCGCGACATTTGTCAACGTGGCAGCTGTCTGCGCGTATGGAACAAGAGACATGCGCCCCAGCGCGCGCAGCAGCAGCACAATCGTCAGCACGGTTCCCAGCACCCTGCGCCAGCCACAACATCATGAGCAGGGATGCACATGTGTTGTTTTTGAGTCACGGAGCAATGTATGCAACGCATCCGGTGCATGAAGCGGCGTTTGTGTACACTAGTGCCCCAAGCAGGGCGGTTGAGCAGTGGTTGCACGAGAAGACCAGAGAGACAGCGAGGCAAACAAGTCAGTGTGCCTCGATGTGCTTATACGCGTGTTGTACTCACGAGAGCATAAAGGCAGAGCTGCTTGCTTTCCACCAGGAGATTTCTTCACTTGAGAAGAGAAACTTGGCCGTGTATTCCGTGGCATTGCCTTGGACCAGCACCGTTCCAGAGATGAGACGCGGGGACGCAAGTCCCACAATCAGACAAATCTAACGCATGTGTGCGTGCGTGTGTGTGTGTGTGTGTGTGTGTGTGTGTGTTGTGGTGTGTGTGTGGGGGGGGGGGGAAGAGGCGTTGAGCAAAGCCACAGCACATATGTACATGTAGGAGGAGAGGGTTGATCTGGCGTCCCAGCGGATGTAGAATCGGTACAAAACAGCATTCGCGAGTACATTTACACATACACACCATTTCGTGCGCACTTGCACTCACATACAAGCTCACACACGCACACACACTTGCACTCACACAGACACACATAGGCAAACACCAGCTCACGCAACCTCACACACACAGTCCTACAGTCGCACACACCAGCGCGGCGACGGTGAGCATGAGCCAGATCAGAACAATCGTGTGCCTGGAGACCTTGGCGGGCTCTGGCTGCCCGCCCATGCGCGTGATGGTCGCTGAACTTGAGTTGGGCATGACTCTGTGGATGAACCAGCGGCGAAAAGAGCGAACAGCGTTCCTACGACACTCACTCCTCAACAACAGCTCAACGGCCGGAGAGAAGAGCAGCTACCCCAAGCAAGCTATGAGGCAGGGTGTAGCGCTTTGGACGAGGGTTGTCGTTGCAATTTGCACCACCCAGTATGCAATTTGCAAAACACACAAAGGCGATGCACAACACAGACGACGACAACAGACGAGGAGGAAGAAGGGGCAGCACCACCCTGTTGGTGGGTGCAGCCCTGACTGCTGCAGTGGTGGTGGCCATCACCCTCATGACTGGCGCTGCGCACGCACAGAACCCCGGGGCAGGGGCGCCCAGCTACGAGCATGCAATGCCAAAAGGAAGCACCATCAGTGGCGCCTTCAGCACCGCCACAAATCGCCAAGACACTGGCGATGACAAGCAGCAGAGCACCGACGATGCCACGGCGAAACCACCCCAGCCTCGGGCGCCAGGGATGTGGGATGAACCGGAGCACGTCGACCCGCCAACCCAGTCCTACAACATTGGCATCTGCCTGTCCATTCCTGCAAAGGCCACAAGCATGTACACCAACGGTATGTCGTGCCATGACGTTTGGGACATGTCTCACTCCTGTCCAGTGTGGCACCAGCCATGAACACAAGCAAACGCACAGAGCGCTACCCACGCACATGCTCGCCATCGCTGACCTCGCTCCACCACTCCCTCACACTTCTTCCACACGCAAACCTTTTTGGTGTTCATGCCACGACCTTGCAGGTGCCAAACAAGCAACCTTCTTCCTGTACGAGCTGCTCAGCTACAGGGATCGCCACAACGTCGTCCTCATCAACCTGGACAGCGGCGACCCAGCGGTGTGTGTGTGTGTGTGTGTGTGTGTGTGTGTGTGTGTGTGTATGTGTGTGTGTGGATGTGTGTGCAGCTGCGTGTATGTGGGTGTGGGTGTGTGCAGCTGTGGAGGGTAGTCCCTCAATATCTCACATCTATCCATGCCACATTGCAACCGAACGGGTGCAGGAGGCTGCGCCCGAATGGCAGCTGGACGGCATTCAAGTTGTGCGGTTCGATGACGCGCTGGCCATGCGTCTTGATGTTGTCATTGAGCTTGGCATGCAACTTGGCCAAGGCCAGGTCGACCGGCTTCAGCTCGCCGGCACTAAGGTGTGTGTGTGTGTGTGTGTGCAAATGTGTGTGTGTAATTGTGTGTGTGTGTGTGTGTGTGTGTGTGTGTGTGTGTGTGTGTGTGTACAAATGTGCGTGTGTGTATGCAAATGTGTGTGTGCCTCTGCGTATCTATGCTTGTGTGCGCGTGCCCGTCCTTGTGTTATTTGGTTTGTTGGTTTCCTTTGCTGTCAGTGTCCACCACCATCATCACCATCACCACCATCACTTTGGGACACCAACCATGTCACCTCACAACAAACACGCAAACCAGGTGGCAGCGTATCGGTCTGGAAACAACTTCATCATGACGATGGAAAACATGATTTACAACCGCAGCGTCTCGACCATGTTCTCCACCGTTGGGTACGACGTTCTCTGGACTCTTCCCTCCTTCAACAGGTAGGTATCTGCAGTGTCATGGCTGTGGCGCTGCGTGCGTGTGCAGTCGTGCGCGCGTGCGTGTGCATGCGTGTTTACTTGTGCGTGCGTGTTTACTTGTGCGGGTGCGTTTGTTTACTTGCGTGCGTGCGTGTGCGCGTGCATTTGTAATGCTTGCGCTGACGGGCTTGTCTACGCAATGCGCAGCCCACTTCCACCGCCCTCGCCTGCCCGCAAACCTCAAACGCTGCGTGCTCTCACACGTTTTGCAGGTCCAATGCGTTTTTGAACCTGATCTATCAGAGCGACGTGAAGGTGGCGCCATATCTGTGGAGCCCTCGCTTCTTCAGCTTCGTGACAGACCAACTGCCCGAGCGAAAGTTCTATGAGCCCACGGGCGAGCCGAAACGCATTGCCATCTTTGAACCCAACCTGAACGTGGTCAAGACAGCAACCATGCCCATGGTCATCGCAGAGCTTCTCTTCAGGTGGGGTGGTGGGTTTGGTATTGGTTTCATGCTTGGACTTGGCCCAGGGTGCTTCTTCTGTTGATGACTGTGTTATCCTGTCACACACACACACACGCACGCACGCGCGCGCACACACACACACGCACGCACGCACGCACGCACACACACACACACACACACACACACACACACACACACACACACACACACACACACACACACACACACACACACACACACACACACACCACGCCGTGTACCACCGCCCGCTGACGGGGGATCCCGAGCTGATTGTAAAAGTATATGGTGAACCAATTCATACCACCCCGGGAAAGAACCGTGACT